CCACACACACACACACACACACACACACACACACACACACACACACACACACGATGCTTTTAGCAATGGCCTGGCAAAGGTGGGAAAGGTGAGCTGTTTCAAATTTGGTGACCTGCTGCTTTAGAGCTCCTGTCTGTCCCTATCCAGATTTTACAGTTTTGATTTGGAGTCACTTATTCTTTTTTGTTAAAAAAAAAAAAAGGAGGGGGGTCAACTAAGCACATTTCAAATGTTCCACATCTGGAGATGGAACCTTCAGGAGAACTTTCTTCTCAGATAAGACAAAGACAATCCAGACATTGCGGAGACAATCCCATTTCAGGGCCAGACCTCATCCACAACACCATAATTGGCTTCCTGTTTCAGATTTGGTGGTGGGTCAGACTTCTGGACCACTCCTAGATTGGTGGAATTGGCATAGTCCAGAGAATGAACAGACTGTTCCAGAATTCTCCAGAACTTTCCATTTCTGGAGACAGCATGGTTTACGCACACCTAGCATCAAACATTCTGCAAAGTACAAAGCCTACAGCACCATCTTCATTTCAAAGAGGACCTTGAACCTGAGGCAGACCCAAGGAATTCTTAGGGAATAAAAACATAGTAGGCAATCCTGTCCCTTAAAGATAAGGATTCTAAAGGGCAGCAGAATCACTACTTTGCCTGCTAGTAAATAGATATTCTATGCTTAGCCATGACCAAATTTCTTCTAATTTTCTGTAGACCAACAATTAATGGAGCCCCTATGGGGGTTTCTTCCCCCTTCAGCAAAGGTACCACTATATGAAGGACAAAAAAGAAACAGCCATGAAAAGCCAATTTTCAAACAAAGCAATTGTTTCTATATTTCACATTGCATCCAATTATTCTTCCCATCCCCTTTCATTTTTTTTAAGGTCGACAAATGGGGAACTACTAGTAATGGATTAAAGAGCTGAGAATACCTTGAAGGGATGGCGCTAAGAGATTTTGGCAGGCCAAAAAAGAAAGAAAGATAAAAGATACTCATTTGAATAAACTCAGCAAGCATCTTCATGGATGCCATAGCAACTCTGGAAAAACCCAAACATGCAGGAAGAAAATGCATTAAGCTCTTATGTGCCTGCTAGGGAATTAGAAGATTCCTGGAGTTTTTCAGACAGACACAGCATTAATTTGTCAATAATAGGGAGGCAAGTTGCTGTACTTTTAATCAAATATGCCAAAAGAACAGTGGTGGTGGCGGAACAGTTGTTCTGATTACTTTTCACTCAGCTTTTTCTCACCCTTAAGACCAAGAGTTGCATGCTAGGTCTCTGCAACAGTTTGATGATTCAATCTGAAAAGGAACTCAATCAAGTCTCCTAAGTGAAGTGTCATTTCAGACCAAATCAGGCCTCCAAGCAGATTCAAATACCGCAATGTGTCTATATCTACAAAGATCAGAATTGTGGTATTTCCTGTGAGACTCTAAGGAAGCAAAAGTTGTTGAAGAAGCAAGATAGGAAGAACATTGATGCTTTTGAACTTTGGGGATGGAGAAGACTCCTGGGAATACCGTGGACAGCCAAGAAAATAAACCAATGGATCGTCAAAGAAATCAACCCAGAGACCTCACTTGAGACACAAAGGACCAGGCTCAAATGATCCTACTTTGAAGTGGAGACCCAGCTCTCTGGGGAACGCTCTAATGCTGGGAAAGGTAGAAGGAAAGAGAAGAAGAGGATGACCAGCAGCAGGGTGGAGGGACTCAGTTACAGTGGTGATGGGTGCATCATTCAAAGTCCTGAAGGACCAGGCTAGGGACAGTTCATCATGGAGAAAATCTATCTATGTGTTGCTAAGAGTTGACAACAACTTGATGGCACATAATCAAATCAAATGGATTCACAATTGATACAATACTAACACAATTCAAATACACGAACCTTGGGGCAACTAGGATGTTATTGTGCTAAACTGTTCCTGGAGGGGCTGAATCTAGGGCTTTCAGCCTGCACAGCAACTTTGTCCCTGTTCTAAGAGACTTTCTGACATAAATAGTAAACCTTCCTTGTGCTTACCTGCCTAGAGCATGCCCTAATCTTAAAATTGCATGTTGGGTCAAGAATTTATGAATAGGTATTGTTCCTTTATTTGAACAATAATTACTACAATAATTACTACAATGATATTATAGCCCCCTGTATTAAGTAGAATAGCCCCTTGTTCTATAAAAGGAAGCACAATTACATTACACTCAATTTGCAACAAGGGA